TGCCTCCTCTGGTTGTGTTGAGTTCACCTCTGCTGATCTTATTAATTAACCTGATTAGTCTTTCTGTCATTACTGATTAATATTATCCTTCCTTTGATGGCCTTAATTATTTGTGGTTTTCCACAAATAGTAGTTAAGGTTGGGAAAGAGTATTTGCCCTGTTAACTATTTTCCTTTGGAGTTCTTGGGACTAACCCACAGAGTAGACTAGTAGATGTACTGAGGAATGATTTGCCCAGTCAGCACACCATGGGATTCCCTTGATAGGAAAACACCCATGACCTTCGTAAGTGGTGCCTGCATGTGCTTTGCAGATGGTTCAGTGAACATGGTTTCATGTAAACCAAAGTTTGGCATTTTACTGGATTGCTGCCTTGATTCTCAGCAATGTTTCCATTGACATTGAAAGGTTGCTATAGTGGTTTTTTGCTTGGTTATATTGTAGTTGACTGTTGTGGCTGTTACAAATTGACTTTAATTACCTTAGGTGATCCGATTGCAACTGTTAGTGGAAACAATTATACTGGAGAAAGACTTAACCTTTTTTTTGTCTATTATAATAATTTCATTGCTGCTAATAAAGTATTTTTAATATTGGTAAAAGAAAGCTGGTTATTTATCTTGGTAATTAAAATCACTTTGCCTTGTCTTAACATTATGATACAGTAGAGTATAAAGTGTTCTTAAATGTATCGTTTCGTGATTTTTAAAAATAATAATTGTTTTTCTAATGACACTGTGAAACTTGTTCATTTTGCGAATTTAAAACTATAGAAAAGCTCAAAAAGGAAAAAAAAATTAAATAACCTGTAATTCCACCACCTTGAAATCATATTGTTTAGGTATATGGCCTTCCAAGCTTTTTAAAAATGCACACATATAGTAGTGAATTATTTGACTTCATTCCATTTCTGGGTTAATGTTTATGTTTAATTAAATGCAGTTCAGCTCTACTATCGCACATTTTTATACCTTTTAAATACCATGCAGTATCTACGTATCTTTTAATATTTGGTATTCTTTCGTGGCTTTTTCTCTTCTTAGACTTTAACTTTTTTTTCTTCCTTACACCATCCTTCTTAAAAGTTAGAATACTTTTGTTATTCAGGAGATAATTTTCCTTTTGTAAAAGTTGCATAAGATGCAATAAAAAAGCCAAGACTCCCATACTGGACAGAATTCTGTGAAACTTTTAGCATGGTGAAATGAATAGAACATCTTTAATTTCAAAAAGAAGACAAAATTAGCTAATATTAAAAAAGCCCTACTATACAAAGCACTTAGAGGACAAATAGGAAATGATCTCACTTCTATGAGGAATGTAGAAGAGGCAGATTGATAGAGGCAGAAAACAGAATAGTGGTCACCAGGGACTGAGGGGACGGGAGGGCGGGGAGTTATTTTTTAATGGAATGTTTGAGGATCATGAAAAGTTCTGCTGTTGGATAGTAGTGATGACTGCACATTGTGAATATGCTTAATATCACTGAATTATACACCTAAAAATGTTAAAATGGTAAATTTTAGTTTTATATATGTAATATATATACTTATATATTGTTTTAAATGCACTTAAAGTATGTCAAAAAAATCCTTCTGTGGTACAAATAATTATTGCCTCTTTAACAATTTTGATATTTAAGCTCTAATTACTTATCATTCAATATTAAAGAATCTTTTCTCCCCCCCCCCGGTTAATTGCAGTATTTCTCCCTCATGCTAGCATTTTCCTTCATGAAGCTGAGATTGTGTTTTGAAGGGACAGAGGCCCACCCCTTTTGCTAAAATTTAGAAATATCTAGAATGTTACCTCAAAATATCAGGATCTCATAAAAATAAACCCTTGTTCAAATCTGTATGAAAGTGTTCTCAATTTTAGAAGCTGATTCAAAAAGTAATAATTTCTTTTCTCCATTAATGTTTTATTAAGCTTTGTTGACCTATATAAGGGTTATAGACTAGGAGGAAGTAGGGGATTAGAAAGATTAGTCGGCCGCCACTCCTAAAAATATCAGAGTGATTTTTTTTCTTAATCACGTATCTGTAACCTGTCTACTCAGAGCAACCTAACTCTGAGATGAAACCTAAGGAATGAATTTTCTATTTTTCACTACATTTGAATATAAACATAGGTGGAATGATGATTATGACATAGGTTCTGAAATTCCTTACGTCTCTAACATATTTTAACATTTGAAAAATTTCGAAATCATTATCCAGTAGTATGTCTTGTAAATGTTTTTTGAATTAATAAACAATTACAAACTTTTCTTAATTATGTTACATCCTGCCATGTTTCAAAAACTTATTTTAGGCAATTTACTGGGAGATATACAATAGAGCAGGGTAATAAGAGTGAAATATGGTATTCAAAAATCGAGGAGAAATAAGGATAGAAATGTAAGATAAAGTAAGGGTTGCTGTTTGTTATTATAAGGTGTTATTCACTTGTTTCCTAGTAACCAAAACCAAAAGGAAAATGTGTTAGTGATAAAATTCTGCATCCATCAGGATCATATGAAGTCATTCTATTGCTGAAATTTATTGGAAAAATGAATTTCTTAAGAAGAAGAATTTCTTAGGAGAAGTTAACAAAATATTTTTATCAATAAACAGTTCCCACAATTACAAATGCGTACTTCCCCAGTGGCCTCAGTGACTGATTAAGGTGCCAGCATTTCTTCAGTGTCTGCTAGGCAGCGTTGCTACCTTATCATGAGGTGCTATAAAAAATACAGTCTTGAAAGAAAATGTGTTGGCTCCTAATGCAGTGGCTTTCAGACTGTTCTTCAGGGTGTTAAGAGCCCCACAGAGCCCCCTCTGGATGGGAAAAAGAGGCTTCATAGTGCTGGGTTCTTGACCAAATCACCATTCCTTTTATCTCATCTGCAGAGTTAAGTTAGTAAAATTTCATGTGAACATTGGATTTAACAGCTAAAAAGATACTTGTAAACCACTGGTCTAACAGTAGCGTTGGGACCATTGTTTAAAAAAGAAAAAATACATCCAACATCCCCTAAAATCTGGCCTGGCCTCCTTAAAGACAGAAATCCTGTGATACCATGAGGCACGCTGATACCATGGATCTTGCTGTATACATGCTTCAGTGCCATGTATATAAAGCCACCCACCCACCCACTCATCCAGAGGTTAAATTTCATTTAGACTGCTTGGTATGTTTATGGTTTCTATTTTTACACTCAGCTCTTAAATTCATATAAATTTATTTTGAAATATGATTTGAGTAGGGATACATCTTCGGTTTTTCTGTGTGTGTTTTTTTTCCCCTGAAACAACCAATTAGCTACCATGTTTTTTACTGATTGATCATTCATCCCTCCCTCCTGATTTGAAATCTCACCTTTGAATATCTTTCCCCAAGAGCATTCTACAATTCCTGAAGTTCCCAATGAGACCACTCTGTTAACATAGTGTTTCTAGAAAGTGCTGAAGTGTAGTACTTAAACTGTTGCATTAAAATCTTATCTAGTTTTTGCTTGTTATTCTAATTCTTGAGAATAAAAGAAGCCCCCCACCTCCAAATATTTGCCTTACTGGAGCTATTTTATTATCAGCCAAAGATTTGTTCTTTTTGTCAGCTCGCAACCTATCAGTAATAAAATCAAACAGTAAGTGGGCATCAAACATTATGATTCTGAAGAATTCAGAGTGGTTACAGAGATAGGAAAGTTCAATCTTCTAGCTTTGTGGTAGGGGAAATATAAAGTAAACATTGAAAATTGAGGTAAAAAACAGAATGAACTTTGAAAAGGTAACTAGCATGCTCCTAAGCTAGCAACATTTTAGAAATTAAGTTTTGTAGTTACCAATATTAAAATGGATAAAATTGACACCACTTTGAGTAAAACCTCCATCATAGATGTAGTTAATTACAGTTTCTAAGTGCCGCTGATTCCTGGAGCAGTTCTTCTAAACCTCTCCCAGTCTGGAGTAGGGGAAACATTACACTCAGACTCCCTTGCCCAGTTCAGGGCTCCAGTCACAGGATGGTTAAAGCTTAATTTTACCATGAGTTTCTCCAGAAATAAGAGGTATGTTATGCTGCCATTGGTCACATGTGAACTGATGGAGCAAAACTAAATTGAGGAAGGCATTTTGCTAAGAAAATAGTTACCAGCATTCACAAAGCTGGCTAGTGTTTCAAAGCCTGAATTCTAAGTTTTGCTGTTGACTGCATGACCTTGAGTGAGTGTACCTAATTATTCTCTTCCCACCTCAGGTTTTTTCTTTTTGGTACATTTTACCAAATGTGTTCTGTAGATCATTATTTTCAGAAGGTGCTCTAGGAGAAGTTTCAAGCATCCGTGGTTAAATGAGTTGGAAGTGCTGTGTACTAGATCAGCTCTGTGAAACGCACGATGTGTAGTAGAATGTGAAAGGCCCCGAAGGAGTCTTAGAGGGAAGAACCCTTATGTCTTTCGGACCCATGTCTTGACATCTCTAAGGACTGTTCCCTGGAGCCCATTTTAGGAACCTGTATTATAGGAACCTCTATAATTCAAGTTCTGGTTAAAAAATTTGTTTTTCATTTGAATAAGTGATTTCAACAGGGTACCTTAATTCACAGTATCAGTGTGGAATCTTCTTAAGGAGACACTGGGAAAAGCCTTGGATTGTACAAGAACCTTGTGCTCGTGGATTTTAAACACAGCAGCCCAGAGAAGCGTTGTTTTCCCCTGTGAGCACCAAAACTCTGTTTTGAAATGATTGGTCAAAAAAGGCCGAGTCAGAGATTTCCCTCCTTTTCAGGAGCCCTGTCCTGTACCTCGGATTCTACCCAGAATGTTTCTATAAGGTGCTATTTGATGTTAGACACTCTTTATAGCCAACATGTGTTTTCTTTTGTTTAATATAATTTCAGCTAGTATTGGCTCAAAGAACATAGACCACCTAGGGGTCATTATTGTTCAGAAAATAATGTCTGGCTTCTTCATAATGACGTTCACAGGAAAATCAGGGTATTGCCATCTTATTTGTAGGATGGGGGCTGCAGATAACATATGCAAAGGACGGAGTACATTTATGGAAGAACTGACTGACACAGCAGAAATAATAAGAAAAGCAACATCCCAGTCTTTGGTTATCTTGGATGAACTGGGAAGAGGGACGAGCACCTACGATGGAATTGCCATAGCTTATGCTACACTTGAGCATTTTATTAGAGAGGTAAGCCTCTTGCCAACCTTTTGTACATGAATGGTACGTACTATACAAATTGTTTTCCTGACCTCGGTTTCTAAATATTCAAAATTATCTTTGTTATAATTGATCCTCTGCCTGCAATTGATCATTCAAGTGCTACGTGGAACTCAGGTAGACTGGCCCTGAATAACGTTTGTCACTCTTTGATGTGTCTCCCTTTCTTATGTGTAAGCAGAATAAATCTGGTCAGTAGGAGAAAGGCCTCCCTGGCAATATTTCCACCTAGAACTGTATCTTATTATCCTTGGCAAACTCTAAATCAAGAGCAAAGACCATCCATCCACCTGCAACCCTATTCTTGAAAAAAGAACCAAATTAGGAGATGGTGCCATTTTAGTCCTGTGAAATACTTTTTTCTGGCAACATCCTGAAAGATCTCCATATAGCCTTTAATCGGATCTATTTGTGTCTCTGTTTCAGTAACAGTACTCCAGAGTTCATTTCTGAGCATCTCAATGTGAAATTTTGTTTGTATCAAACTTTCAATCCATATCATCTCTACCAGACTCTCCCCTTTATTAACCCTCTCTGTCTTGTTTATTTTGACCTCTCGCCCTTTCTCCCTCCTTCTTAGCACCTGCCCCTGAACCTTGTCTCTTCTGTTTTTTCTTTTTCTATTTTGTTCTCTACTTTTTTACACTTTTCTTTGTTTCTGTGTCTTTCTCCCATTTTCATTTCTGGCTTTCTTCCTTAAATAGCCAATAAAAGCATATTTTTCTCATATTTCTTTGCAAAAAAATGCAAAAATAAAATCCCCTTTTCTTTAAATTTTTGTGACCCTCAGTTTTAATAGTTAGTTAGGTTACATAGTTAATGATGGCATATTTTCTATTTTGAAAGAAATACTTTTCATTTTTCTTTGAAAAGAAATTCTGTATTTGCAGAAAGACACAGCTCAAGAACTTCTTTCCTCATTATAGAAACTATGTATCACAGGTTCAGTAAAGTCCTGTGTCTGCCTCCAAAACATATTTTAAACGTTTATTTAAGAATATTACTCAGCTGTTAAAAAAATGAAATTTTGCCATTTGCAGCAACATGGATGGACTTGGAGGGCATTTTGCTAAGTGAAGTAAGTCAGAGGAAAATAAAATACTGTATGATATCACTTATATGTGGAATCTAAAAAATACAACAAACTAGTGAATAAAACAAAAAAGAAGCTGACTCACAGATATAGAGGACAAACTACTGATTTCCAATAGGGAGAGGGATGGGGGAGGGGCATCATAGGGGTAGGTGGGGAAAAAGGGTTATTATGGATTAAATGAAATCATTTCATACATGAAGCCATGTGTGAAACTTGTACAGCACTATAGAATTTTAAGAATTTTTCATTTAATAAAAAATAAATTAAAAAATAAGAACATTCATTTAAGAGCCTTTAGGAACAAATATGACAGAGCTGAATTTGTCAACTGTGATTTCATCATTTCTACTCTGTAGCAGTTTATCAGTTACTATGACTGCATAGCAAATTACTCCAAAAGTAAGTGGCTTAAAACAACAATCAGTTACTATGTCTCGCAGCGTCTGGAGGTGAGGAATTCAGGAGCAGCTTAGCTGCGTGGTTTCGGCTTAGGGCCTCTCCTGAGGTGGCAGTCAACTTGTCAGCCAGGGCTGTAGTCATCTGAAGGCTTGACCAGGCAGGAAGAATCTCTTCCAGTGTGGCTCATTCACATGGTTGGCAAGTTGGTGCTGGTGGTTGGCCAGGGCCCTTGGTTCCTTTCCCTGCTGTCCTCCCCACAGGGCTGTTTGAGTATTCTTACAGAGTGTCATCTGGCTTCCCCCTGAGGGAGTGTTCCAAGAGGCCAAGGTAGAGGCAGCAGTACATTTTATAAGCAAGCTTCAGAAGCCACACGCTGTCACTGCCATCATGTTCTGTTGGCCACACAGCCCCCCACCCCCACCCCGATTCATTGTAGGAAGGGGCTCCTCAAGAGCATAAACATTGGGAAGTAAAGATCTCTGGGGCCATGTTGGAGGCTGGCTACCAAAAGCAGTTTGTCAGTATTTCCAAGATTCTCTAAGAATCTTCAGGAACCAATTTTGACAGAACTGAGTTTGTCACTTCTGTTTTCATTGCCTATATAGCAGTTTTGGGTTACTTTAAGTGTTAATGAAGAAAGTATTAGTTTTAGATAAAACTTACCTTGGAGGCAAATCATTGAAAATTTATCAGAAGTAAGAGTCACTAACATTCTTAAAGATAAAAATCATTATTTTTCATGGTGTCTTTTGATTGCTGAAATGGAGAGAGAGAAAAGAGAAGAGGAGTGGGGGAGGTTTTGTGTTGCTGCGGCGAGCTGAAAATGGCCTTGAGGAGAGCAGTGGTGTAACCCAGACCCTCATGTCTTCCAGCTAGAATTGCCCGTCAGCTCAGGGAAGGGGCACCATGGAGACAGCCAGTCCTAAGATGCTTCAGGGCAGATTTTAAGAGCAACTTGTCAAAAGAAATCCTGCCTTAATAAGTTTATTTTTAATTGTAATTAGAGAGAAGGTATACATCATGACTTTAAATAAAGTAAATGGCAGATGGATCAGCACTGGAGTTCTTCAATTTAATTAACCTCTTCTGTTACTTTCTAGACCATGAGTTGGTGTTAACTTCCCTTAAAGTAGGGATTTCTAGAACACATATAATGTGTGCTCTAAAGCAGTGCTTATTAAATAATCCACAAGTCTATATTGATAGTAATAAAACAAAAATAAGTTTTAAAATGATGGGGGGTAAGGTGGGATGAAGGGAAAGCTGTACTTTACAAAATGTAAGCTAATGAATAGAGAATGCTGTTTATTGGCTGGCATTTTGGTGTTTTTTTAAATCAACATTAACTATGACAATATACCATTTTTTTAAATCAACATTTATTAACTAGCACGATAATAACTGATTCAGGAAATGATGATCAACAAATGGTGAAAGCTTTGGGTGAAAGATTGTTGGAGAAAAGGATATTCACAGTCTCAAATTAATACCCCACAGGTTATTTAATAATTACAAAAGAGAAAAAAGTACAATGAAGAAATCTTCTAGGCACCCACTTACACCACATAAACAGATTTAGCATCCCCCGTAATGGGTCAGATTGACATCATGTGCCTCCTGTTGTGATGTACTGGAAAGGATATGTCATGTACATATATATGTAATATTCCTGGCAATAAGGTGTAATCTGAATTCCATCAGGATGAAACAATTAGCTGACTCCAAATTGAGGCATATTGTGCAAAACAGCTCTCCTGAATAGTTCAAAAATGTTAAAGTCATAAAAGACAAAAAAGAAAAGGGTGGGGAACTTTTCTATAGTAATGGGGGCTAAGGAGACATGACTGAGTGCACCACATGAGCCTTTATTTTTTATTTAAATATAAAGAAATTTTATAAAGAACATTATTGGGACAGTTGGGGAAATTCATGGGCTGTATATTAGTAAATAGTAATATATCAATGTTAAATTTCTTGAGTGTATCATTTTATTCTGGTTATATAGGAGAATGTTTTTGTTCTCAGAAGATAGAATCTTAAGTATGTAGGGATGAAGTGTCACGATGGCTGCAGTTAATTCTCAAATGGTGCAGAAAAAAAAGTGTGTGTGTGTGTGTGTAGAGGTGAGGGAGGAAGAAAGGGAAAATACGGCAAAATATTAAATGGTTATCTAGATAAAGAATATATAAGTGTTCATTGTACTTTTCTTTCAACTTTTATGAAGGTTTGAAGTTTTTCAAAATAAAGCTGGAGAAAAGTTTAAATTAAAATTTAAAAATAAAGTAACATTCATTTTGTCTTACTGCTTTAGGTAAAATCCTTTACCCTGTTTGTTACGCATTATCCACCAGTTTGTGAGTTAGAAAAAAGTTACTCACAACATGTGGGGAATTATCACATGGGATTCTTGGTCATTGAGGATGAAAGCAAACAGGATCCAGGTATGAGATGTTCTTGCAGTAAGTACAATTAGAATTCTTTTGGTTTTCATGATTAATAACTCGAAGTTCATAGGAGCATGATTAATAATGAAAACTGTGAATGTTGATTGTGATTGACATTTGCCCAAATTCATTTTCTCTAAGCTTAGAGTCAAGTAGGATTTGCATTTATCCTTACCTTCTCTCAGTCCTTCTCTGGCCTTCCTTAACTCATTTTTCTACAAGAAGAAGGTTGGATAAGGGGGGTATTTAGGTTTTACCCTTAGATTCATTTCAGGAAAGATGCCCTAACAGTCAGATGTATTAGTCATCTTTTAAAATGCTCAATGTAGTTCCCAAAATATCATTTAACATTAATTAGTTACCAGGAGCCATATTCTATATTGGATGCATGTTTTATCTTAATTTGATAAGGAAACTCAATCTCAGGTAAAGTGGCTTGCCCATGTCGGCCACCTGGGTAGGGGCTGAACTGAGCCTAGAATCCATGTCCTCTGCTTGCAGGTCCGCCTCTACTCTGTTAAAACTGCCGTGGGCTGTTTTTCCTAGCATTCTGCTTACTGCTTGTTTTACAGAAATGAAACAGTTCATGAAAAAGAATACCATTAGCTAATAGAAATAAATTCAAGTGCTGTAAGTAATATAGTAGATTTTAAACTTTTTTTTCCTGTTCAGTAGTAATTTTTTTAAGCTGCCAACCTGTGGGCCAGTGACGGTTTTACTCAGTTGGTGTGTTACAATGGAAAACCCATTATCCAAGATACTCCGGAGTCCACATTTTATTTTGGAAAAGAAATAAGTAAGGATGGACCTGAAAAAGAAATCAGGCGACTGGCCCAAAATAAAACAAAGCATTGGACCTAAGATAAACGTAATGTTAGGCAATCGTTGCCTTTCACCACGCTGCTAGTCATGAAAAACACATCATAAATTCTCTCATGGAAGCAATTTCATATCTATTAATCTGCATCCAAAGTGACAGGGGAAGCTTATAAGCTGAAACCCAGTGGGATAAACAAGAGTTCACCAACAGGGAAGGGTCAGTGGTAAGCATTTGATGTGAACTGCCTGCTAATGCAGACCCTTACTTCTTAAGTGTTTTGGCGTTTTATTCTATTGATTGAAGTTTTTATTCATGAACATAATTTAAAAAAAGCTAAATGATGCTAGAGACTCGTGCTAACAGGCAGTGGTCCCCTGCTTCCACCACTTCACCCAACGGCCCCTCCCCATCCCTGTTCCCAGGCAGCCACTCTTGACTCTAATCCGTTTCTTCTACAGTTCTAAATTCCTGTGCTTATTTTCCTGTCTCTTGGTCCTCAAGGCACACTACTGACTTCTCCTGTTAAATGAGGGTCTCCAGCACCCCCTTCCACTTCCTCCTGGTATAGCCGTTTCACATTTTTTCTGTTTCATTCATTGTCACTGTTTGTTTTCACTGTTACTGCAAGTAGGTATTGCTTATTCATGAACCAAGTATGGAGACAAGTATTTCTCTTTTCTTGAAGGTAATAATCACCTTGTTTTTTTTTTCCTTTCATTGTTTATTTGAGTCTATTGCTGAATCTTCCCGTATCCCCCAATAGCTTTGTAAAACACCTCTCTAGACATTTTTCCACATGATTGAACCTGTTGGTTCCAGTTTTCCCCACCGAGGACATTTCTACTGGAGCCCTATGTCCTCCTGCTCATCTGAACTGGTTGTTGTCCAGAGATCTGCCTTTGCTGCCTTCCTAGGAAGTCTCTTAACCCCTTTTCTGTGCTTGTAATTCTGACAATCAGAACACTTGGACTCACATTCACACTGGACTCAGCCACCTCTAAATTTTTTTTTAATCTATCCTGAAAGTGACTTCAGAAACTATTTGATCAGCATATATCTCTTTAATAAATGCCTAGAGAAGTTCTGCTTTGAAACAGTTTTGCTTGGGGTGGTAGTAATAGCTCAGCGGTAGAGCGCATGCTTAGCATGCACAAGGTCCCGGGTTCAGTCCCCAGTGCCTCCATTAAGGAGTGGAGTTGAGGGGTCAACTTTTGCTAAGTTTCCCTATAACAGGCAGAAACATGAATTATTGCTTTCACTGATTCTGAGCAGTGTCAGATAAGCTTCTCAATAATACCCATTTAAGAAATGGTCATGGCTTGTAAGTAAAGTCCTCATCAGGAACTTTTATTGTGAGACTGTAGAGAAGTGAGTCTTTTTTTTTTTTTTTTACCATCTCCACTGTGACTTGGCTCTCCCTGCCTCCACATTTCCTTTATACACACATACTCTCTCTCCCTTCCCCTCCCTGCCTCTCCCTCCCTCTCTCCCATGGAAGGGGGGTGAAAGATGGTCTCAAGGTAGACTGTAACTCTAAAAACAGCTCCCTCAGGTGATTATGGAAAAGTGGGCACATTATTTATCTTGGCGGCGTAAGCACTACCATAATTAGTACAAAAGTGGAGACTAGCACGTGATGACAAATTCAGCAGTTGTTTGTACTGAGGTGTGTTGATGAGTCACTCAGAGCAATATAATATTATATATAACTTAGCTGTATTTTATAGCTGTATTATATGTAAGAAACCCTTTTTGCTAGTTATATATTATATGCATATAAAGCAAAAAAAGAAAAACCCATCAGCAAAGCAATGTTTAAATGAGGGGATTTTATGGCATTTAGTACACTTTCAGAAAAAGATGAATGGATGGATAGTGAACAGATGGACAGACAGATGAATTAATCTTTTTTTTTTTTTTAAAGGAAAGATCAGTGTGGAAGTTAGATTGTAGAGGAGAGGCTGGAGGTGGGGACATCAGTTAGGACTAACCCAGTTGAAATGATAAAGGCTATATTTGCCTTAAAGATGACAAGAGTTTGCTTTTTTGATGCCCTGCTGCTGCACACTTCGCTTTTGGTCTTGTGAGCACTGAGGGGTAGCAGGAGATTATCCAGGTTAGCAGGCAGTGGTTTCTACATGCTTCTTGCCTAGTCTTTTCCCACCCACTTCCTCACCTGTTCTTTGTGTTCCTTAAGTTTTATTTAGAGGCAAAAGTTATTCTTAGTGCTTTGTAATGTGAGTTTTAGTCTGTGTATTCCTGAGACTGTTAGCTTTCTTTTCACCTCCCACCTCCAGCAGCGACCCTTAGAAACATATTACTTGTCTGTGGCTGAATTCTTAGAGGAGGTTAAAGAAAATTCCGTTATCCTTTTTCTTTGTTGTGTTCAGTCTTTTGGCTTTTTTGTTTTTAGCTGATAAAAGAATAGAGCATACACATTTATCAAATGAAATAATGTATGAGAAAAGTTTTTGGTAGAGCTATGCTAAGTATACTAGGGTCTCAGAAATGATTGTGAATCTGGTTCATCTGGGACATTTTTGCAACACAGTGCAGTTATATTGAATTTCGTAATAAAAGCTGCATAATCCTGAGGTGCTTTAGATTTATCAACAATTAAACTGTATGCAGCTGTTGAGGAGGAAGAATTTTTCCTCTGCCCTTCTTGGTTCTTTGGCTGATCTAATAATCAAATTAACAGAAGACAAATTAACAGGAGAAAAATAAATGTAATTATGTACCGTACCTACCAGGGCCCCATAAGAATATGAAGGCAGGCTGGGCAGTTGAGGCTTCTGTATCTTCCTGACCTAGGAAATGGGAGAGGAGATGGGGCTTCAAAGGGGAAGAGGGTATATGAAAAGGAATATAAGTATGTATATGCATGACTGGGACATTGTGCTGTAGACCAGAAATTGACACATTGTAACTGACTCTGCTTCAGTAAAAATAAAAATAAAAGGTGGTAAGGAAGACTGTAATTCACAGGGCAATAAGAAAAACAAATATTTGGTAATTAGATATTTGTCCGGCCATACAGATAGAAGATAAAAGTTACCTCTGGTAATAGCTCTGTCTCTAAGCCAGGATCCCCCCACCCCCATCTAAATTCTCTTAGGCAACTGAGGAGGTGGTTAAAAAGCCCTTCCTGAGCCTTTTGGACCTCCATTGTCTTCAGCTCAAGATAACCTGCGTGCCATAGCGGCACATTTCGGGGAGGCTGGTTCTGAACCCCTCCATAGCATTGTCTTTGTATTATTGTGCTTATTATATCCCAGTTCTTTTAACATTGTAACTTCATGTTTATGTAGTGTGTGATAGGCTGGCTTCCCCAGGAAGCAGATTCTGAGATTCGCATGAGTTTGACTGGGGAGTGCTCTCCTGATCAACACCCAAGCACAGGACTAGGCAGGACTCGGCTGTGTTACAGTTTTGAGGCTTCAGCCATCCCTGCTAAGCTCTGAGACTGGGCTGGAGTTGGCTCACCTTGAGGTGAGAGAGCCAGGCTTTTATACTTTTCATGAGTTATCTATTGTTGCATAACAAATTACCCCCAAAACATAGCAGCTTAGCACTACAAATATTTAATATCTCATAATTTCTGTGGGTCAGGAATCCAGGGGCAGCTAAGCCGAACACCTCTACCTCACAGTCTCTCACAAGACTCCATCAATGTATCGGCTGGGGCAGCAGTCATTTGAAGGCTTGACTGGGGCAGCCCATGGCCCAGCCCCCTCACATGGTCAGTGGCATCCCTCAGAATATCCACTTCCAACTTTACTCGTGGCTGTGGGCAGGCCTCCAGGCCCTCACTGACTTATTGGCCAGAGACATCAATTTCTTTCCATGAGGACCTCTCCATACAGCAGCCCACAGCATGGCAACTGGCTTCCCTTAGACAAAACAAGTGAGAAAGTGAGTGCTCAAGACAAGCCAGTCTTTTGTAATCTAGTCTAGTCGCAAAAATGACATGCCATAATTTTTGTCATATTCTGTTCTTTGGAATCAAGTCCCTTGGTCCTGCCCACACTCCAGGAGAGGCAGTGACGTAAGAGCATGAATACCAGCAGGCAGGGATTTTTGGTGGCCTCTTAGAGTCTGCCTGTCAACCCCCTGAGCAACCAGTCACACATGCAGGCTGCCCAGGGTGACCTTGCATGAAGCAGAGCTCTCCAGCTGAGGCGGTTCCCAACAAGAGCAACAGCTGAGGGTTGCAGGCTAACAACTTTCCTGACAGTTGGGTCAATAAACGCTTCAGTCCCAAGTGGGATTTGGGTAGTACCGAACAGCATCCCCTTCAATATGTATAACTGTTCGTTAACTAGGGTATTTAATAAGCCAGAGTTTCTCTGTCTTGTAGTTTAAACTGTGCAACATGTAATATTTCCTTACCTGCTTTTGTTATTTTATTTCTAGCAGTCTTAGAAACATCTTTTTTTTTACTTTTAACATTTTTTATTGATTTATAATCATTTTGCAATGTTGTGTGAAATTCCAGTGTTCAGCACAATTTTTCAGTCATACATGGACATATACACACTCATTGTCACATTTTTTCCTGTTAGTTACCATAACATTTTGTGTAAATTTCCCTGTGCTATACAGTATAATCTTGTTTATCTATTCTACAATTTTGAAATCCCAGTCTGTCCCTTCCCACCCTCCGCCCCCCGAAACATCTTTTATATATGTTACTTTACATTATATACAAGAGACTGTTTGGTGAACACATTTTTCCTCTGGAATACCACTTTTTAAAAATCTGTTTTTAAAGGAGAAATTATATTATGCCATGTATCAGAATCACTCTCTTTTTGATATAGAAGTTTTGTTCAAATTTTTCAGCAAGCAGCATAAAACTAAATACTTCTTAGCTTACAATGAATAATTGTTAAGGACCAGTTTAACTAAGCTAAAAGATAAATCTTAAATGCAGACGCATTTTCAAAACAGCATTTGCCCTTTTTCTAAACATGTAATATTGATAAAAGGAGCTAACAAGTGATTAGGGACAGTGGATTTCTTTTTTAGGTTATGAATTTTAATTGAGTAAAGTTAAAAGAATTTATATGTTGTCTTTAATCCTCTGATTTCTTTCCAACTTTCAAGCATGGTTTTCTTTATCTCTCTTTCTCTCTCTTTTAACTTTATTTTTCAGGTGAAGAAGACCCAGTTGTTGATTTTGTCACTTTTCTTTATCAAATAACCAGAGGAGTTGCAGCCAGGAGTTATGGACTAAATGTGGCTAAACTTGCAGATATTCCTGGAGAAATTTTGAAGAAAGCAGCTGTCAAGTCAAAAGAGCTGGAAACATTAGTAAATATGAAAAGGTCAGGGTGATTGCGCTGCATTTTTTGATTTGTAATGAAATGTTCCAAGTTGTCCAGGGGAGAAGATTGTCCTATAAATGAACATCAGATCTTCCTTCAAGTACCTCTTCGAATATTCTGACACATTTAATTACGATAAAATGAAAACAGCTCTTCCCAGAGCTCATGTGAATTCACTCGGAGCTCTCTAGTCATATCTTTATCTATTAAGTTGCAAGATTGGTTTTTCCAATCATTTTTCTAAAAACTTGATTCCTTATGTGTGCCAACACATTTAGTTGCTTAAAATATTCATTTATGCAGAAAATTACTAGAAGAAACCTCAATATATAAAACACTTACAGTACTTCTTTTATTCATATATGCAGTGGTTGCATTCAGAAATCCACATGTCACTTTGTTGATTTGTTTGTGACACATTTTTCATTCTAAACTGACTTCTGTGTCACCTAGAATGCTTATGTGAATACATTCCACCTTTTACCCTGGATATCCGGTCAGTATGTAGTCAGTATATAAACTAATCTTCATATACACCTGAGACATACTTTAGAAAGAAGTTATTCCTAGGAAAATATCATTAATAAATAATAAATTATAGCTTTTTGTTTCCCAAATATAAGATTAATTTATCAAACAGCATAAGCTCCTCAACCACCTCCTGCCCACCCCTCCTCTGCCCAGAGAGTGTGATCTGCCTGGGGCTGGACACTACTGACCTGGTCCATAACCGTGTGACCACAGGTGAACAGACTGTTAGTCACATAGAACATCTTGGCTGGTCACCATACTATAAGAATATTTTTTTAGCTCTGGAAATCATTACCAATTTAAATGTGAAATTGATACCTAATATTAATTAAAGAAATAGTTGCCAGCTTGGATGCTGAGGTACAGTTGTGCAACCACCTTCATTGCTGCTGCTCTGCCTTGCGCTCCACACCTTGCAGTGGTAAATGGTGGTGGACCGGGTCCAGGGTGCTAGAATACTACGGAAGTCATGTAGCTTCCTCTGTTGACGTCCTCATCTGGATCCTTTCCATGATGCCAAATTAGAAGCAAGTGATGCAATCAGTGAGAGCCTATTTCTAGTTATTTGTTACAAAGTAGAATATGAAACATTTCTGGAGAGAAAAGCGATCGGAGTTTAAAAATAAGCCTAGCCCTTAGTTATTTGCAAAGTCAGAAGACAGGTTTAAGTCCTCTTTTGTTGTCTCATTTTTCTTTTTCCCTAAAGAAACTAGAGAAAAAAACTTTACGACAAAAGATGCATATGCGAGATGGCAATAAAATATGAGAGTTCATACATGTCGCTGTTATCTAGCCTAGGAAGCCAGAACAATAAAATTCACAGATTACTTATAAATTTTTTAACTCTTCCTACTAGTATATGGTATTTTGAAGTCTAGAAAGTTACCTTGACAAGACAGTTGTAGGAAGAGGTTGCCTTGGAATGGAATCTGATGATTTATCAATAAACACACTAAAAGTGCTTATCACACCTATTCCATTGGCCAGATGTGAGAAACCAAAGTGAATCTGGTGCATTCATATGGATTTGTTAATAGCTGATACTTACTGAATGCTTACTGTGCAACCAAGTCTGGGCAGTCAGTCATTCACAGCAGCCGACACTGTGCCAGTTACTGTTCTTTCTGCTTTCCGTGCATTAACCCACTTAATCCTTGTGACAGCCTCGTGAGATAGGTACCGTTGTCATCCCCATGTTATAGTTGGGGAAGATGAGGCCAAGTGAAGGCAGGAAGCTGACGAGGAAGGCAGGGTCACTCAGCTAGTTATTGGTGGAGCAGTGACTGAAACTCAGATACTCCCTCTCTAGACCCTAAACATTTAACTGGGTTGCTTTTCTCCAGAAAAAAAGTAGGTCTATGTTATATTGGCATTTTACTCTTTCAGTAGCTAGCTTTATGTTATTAAATGAGTTGTACTTTTCTTCCTGTGAGCACACACCCCTTCTGGCTGAGTTAGAAGGGGAGGAAGCTGGGCTCTCCCCTCCCCGGAGGCAGGAGTGCTGATCCACAGCTTCATCCCTTGATTGCGGCAGCAGCACTGAAAACTCCTTTCACCTGAATCTGATGCCGACAGAGCTTCCCAGCCACAGGGTCCTGCCTGCTAGTCTGATGTCGCAGACTGTTCATAGCTTTCGATGAGATGTATTGTTCCCTAACAATTTGACTTATAAAGTAAATAGTGTTTTATTTTCTTTCCAGGAAACGGCTTAAGTGTTTTGAGAAGTTATGGACAATAAATGATGCAAAGGACTTGCAAAAGTGGACAGAGGAGTTGGAAATGGAAGAAGTTACTTCTCTTCCTGATTAAAACTAAGATTACATTCTTTAACGAAAAAGAGAAAATTGAACTACCAACTGTACAAAATAACTCTCCAGTTACAGCCCATCTTTGTGTGACGTGAGCAGAAAACATGACCGTGGTATATTCCTATTAGAAACAGAGAGGCTTTTTGTGTAGAAAGTCTGTTTCAAGTTCCTGCCATCCTGACTTTTAAGAGTATAAACACTTGAATATTAAGATTTCTATCATGTCATTAGAGAATTTCAGGGACAGTAAGACTCACATAAAATCAAAACCTTCTAAGTAAAACCTAAAGTGGTAAAATATACAGTTCATAAAATTTAAGAATGATATACTGTTTCTTAACATTTTTTATTGAGTTATAGTTATTTAATAATGTGTGTCAAATTCCAGTGTAGAGCACAATTTTTCAGTTACACATAAACATACATACATTCGTTGTCACATTTTTTTCACTGTGAGCTACCACAAGATCTTGTATATATTTCCCTGTGCTATACAGTATAATCTTGCTTATCTTAGAATGACATAAAAATTTAATTTATAATTTTATTTGTTTTGGTTCAGATCATTTGCAACTGGCTGAAGTGTCTGGCAGGAATATACCTTTACACTGGAGCAAAAATAATTTTATAATGCCACCAGTTTATTCACTATGAGCATAAGAATTTTTTTTTTGTATTGAGTTATAGTCAGCATAAGAATTCTTGAAGAGAAATAGAAAGCTGTTAGAAGCTAGAGCACAGAAAGAGTAAGGTCATATGAAATTTGAAAAATTAACTGTCACAGTTTAAGCAATTTAAAGATTATTGGATGAAATTGTCATTCATTCCAGTAATAAACATTTAATGAATAGTTGCTATAATTTATGGGGTTTTTTCCTGTTGAATTTTGTTGATTTTCAACTATCTGGCATTTGTTACTTTTTAGGTTTAGTTATAGAACCAAGGTCACTGCTCTTCCCGAGTTAACAGAACTGAGCTGATTCATTTTGGACCTTTCTACTAACCAATACAGCAAGTGTATGATCTTCCCAGTGTGGAACCTTAAGCTTTGTTGATTCATAACAGCACCCCCTCCCTGCATGTTTAGGGTGACATGTGCTCAGCTACGTCCCTGAGCTTTTTTCTAGTACTTACAGCCTGGCTTCTCATGTCCTTCTATTTTTCTTTCTAAGTGTATGATCTTGCACAAAGGCTCTCCATCCTATTTCCCACCCGTTTATTATTCCTGCTCAGTGAAATGTCCTCTACACACTAGATGGGCATTTTCCTGATTCCTTCTTTAGATTATTTCCTACAGTGGCCCTAACAGTGACCCCTGGACACAGTTAATTTAGTGTCCACTGGTTGAAGAGTGGTTGGTTGCTATACCTTTGAGTCACTCACACTTTAACCTTCTGTTTCCCTACCTTTGTGGAGTTAGAGTATATGTTGGTTGATTCCACTATCCCTGCAGAAATACTAACATATAGTGAAATTCACAATAGTGTCTCCAAATAGGGTTAGTTGGAATTTACTCTTTAAATTTTAAGACGAGATTGGGCGCATTCAGGGTGGTGTGGCTATAGACTACTCTTTAAATTTTTAGAAGAATGATACTTTTTAAACAATGTTTCAATACTCTGTAAGACCATAAATGTTTTATATTAACAGGATTTCAGAGGTAGTACTGTCACCTTACTGGCAGGCCAGCAAGAAAAGGAGATGAACCCAGGAGTGTCAAGCCCATGCCTGAGGGAGCTGCAGGGACCAGCCATCAGTGCTAATGTCCGAGTGGACATTCTGGGCTATCCCTGGCTTGCCTAGGCCAGTGTCAACATTAAAGCAGGAGGGGGATCCCAAGAGCAGTGTGCCTCGGCAGTGGCAGTACACAGTGTCTGGCAAGTGACAATGTGGAACATTACAAGATAGATTCTCTAACATAAAGCAAGATGTCAGCCAGCCAGCCAGTTTGCAGGAGGTCAGGGCTGCTCCAAGTTCGGGAGAAGACCGGCACGGACCAACTGCATGTCTCAGTGAGTTGAGTTTCGTTCCCCTGGGGTACTGAGGTGCGGAAGGGAAAGTTGTGGCAGAGTCCACTGTGGCAGTTGAATGAGGATGACACACGTACCATGGAGACTAGCAGGAAAGATGCCATTGATGGGGCACATACTCCAGTTTCCAAACTTAAGGAGGGCAGCAGTTCTAATCAGATATGTCTTTCAGATCCGGATTTAATTTCCTTTGGCTGTATACTCAGAAGCGGGGCTGCTGGGTCATATGGTAGTTTTGTGTTTCGTTTTTTGATGCACGTTCATACTGTTTTCCATATCGGCTGCACCAGTTTACATTCCCACCAGTAGGGTACGGTATGAGGGTTCCCTTTTCTCCGCACTTTCACCAACACTTGTTACTGCTTGTCTGTTTGACAGTAACCATCCTAACGTGTAAGATGATACCTAGTTATGGCTTTATTTACATTTCTCTCATGGTTATAGTCAGTTTTAGAATATTTTTATCACCCTGAAAAAGAAACCTGTTCTCAGTAGCAGTCACTCTCCATTCATCCCCCAAATGCCGAATCCCAGTTACTAATCTGCTTTCTGTCTCTATGAATTTGCTATTTTAGACATTTCATATGAATGGCGTTACACAGTATGGGGTCTTTTGTGACCAACTTCTTTCATTTCATTTACTGTTTTCAAGGTTCATCCATGTTGTAGCATGTAGTAGTACTTCATTCTTTTTTATTGCTGAAAACTTTTCCATTTATGTATTTACCACATTTTGTTTATTCATTCATCAGCTGATGCAGATTTGGACTGGTTCCATTTTTTGAGTATTATGAATAATTCTGATATGGTAAGGCAGAATTTTTTTAAAACTCCCCCCAATAATTCTAAAGTGCAGTCAGGTTTGTGATCAATAATCTCATTGATTACAATAACTAAACAATATTTTTCACTGAAATGACAATCTTTTGGTCTGTCTTTCTCCTCTGTTTTATCTATCATTTAGGACAAACATGGCAAACTATAGACCCCCAATAAATACTTGTTGAAATAGAAAAGAAAAACCAAACCCTTTCAGATTAGAAACCCAACAAAATGACTCTTCTTTTCATAATCAAGATACTGCTTCACCAGAGATTCAAGATCCATACGGAAATATACTTTATCTTAAAAAAATAAAATAGAAATTTCTTCCGACAATTTGTCCAAATTTGAGCCTGTTGTGGTGGTAATGGAGCTGGTGAAACAATGCTCACTGTGTGAATTCCAGAGTAAAGACTAGATTGAATCCAATATGGTCTACAAATTAAGGTTGACCTTTACTAAGTTCCAATATCAAAATTAATTACTGCTGTGCCAAGTAATTATAAAAGAGCCATTTGATATTTCACACTAAAGACATGGTTAAAGAGAAAAAGGAACTTGGATTAATACCATCTGTGGTTTCTAACCTTATAATGATGACCATTTCCTCTTTGGAACACTAGTTAGTATAGATGATTATTGTTAGGTTTATTAACGTCCATAGAGGTATTAACGTTAGGGGGCTATCCATTCTGGTTTGCCTGAGATGGATCTGGGACATCCTGGTCTACACCTGTTTTCCTGGCATATTATTAAAAGCCTCTTTCACTGACTTGATAGATTTTGAACATCATCTTTAAGAATCCATTTTTTTTACCCATTATATGGACTGATTTTTATCCAGAAGACCTTCCAGTTGTTTGTTTGTTCATAATAAAAGCTTTACATCGTGGCATTTAGAAACTAAACCTCTGCAAGTAGGCATGTTAGAGCTTTACCACCTAGTCTGTTTTTGAGACTAAATCCCCAGAGATTGTCATCTGCCTTGTTGCCATGAAATCATGGTGAAGAATGTGCACCTCTATGACTTCTTGAGACACATGAAGGCTGTCTTCTTGCAGAAATAATTATAGATCTCAGGAAGAAGAACTCTTTTCTCTAGTTGTCTTGTCCTTTGCTCAAATCCTCCTTTCATTGCCTTTGACTATCTCCTTTTTAAAAAATATTCAAATAGTCTTTTTTATTTCTACATCAGAAATACTATGTGCCATTTAAACCTCCTTTTGAGCCCCAAGCTCCTTTTTTTTCCAAACCTTACTTCCATGAAGCTCCCTCATTGGATGTAAGGATGTCCTTCCTTCTATCAGAATCACCTAAGGAGGTTTTTGTTTTGTTTTGTTTTGTTTTTTTAACATTTTTTATTGATTTATAATCATTTTACAATGTTGTGTCAAATTCCAGTGAGGAGGTTTTTAAATGCAGATTTCTAGGTCCCACTTTAGCTGTGCTGATCTGAGTCTCAGGTTGGTACACAAGAATATCAGTCAATGTTAACGTCAGTCCTCATCTCTTTCCCATTTTCTCTCCCCTTTCTCTTTCTTACCACTCCCTGCATGGTTAGGGGTCTTGTCTTCAAAGAAATTTGCTAAAAATCATAGTCCTTGGATCATAACCCTTTCCCAAGTTGCTGCCTGATTCAGTAGATCTGTCATGGAACCCAGGGAAGTTACTGTTTCCAACAAATATATCAGAAAACTTTTTGGAGATCTGCGACAATTTGAAAAAATTTACAGGCAAACCACATAGCCTAGAAATATTGAAAAAGTAAGAAAAGTAGGGATGTCATCCATGCATAAAATATATGTAGATACTAGTCTATTTTATCATTAATTGCCATAAAATATACATAAATCTATTATAAAAAGTTAACATGTGTCCATTCTTATACACACAGGCCATACATGGCACCATTTGCAGATGAGAGAAATGTAAACAAAGATGCGGTGTTGCTATAATTGCGTACAATTAACTGTAGTGCATACTATACTACTATAATAATTTTGTAGCCACCTCCTGTTGCTTTTGCAGGGAGCTCAAATGTTGAGTATCCACTTAAAACACTATGTGACACTAATCATCTCTGTGTGAGCAATTTGTTTCTCCAGTAAGTTGCGTGTCACAGTAAAAAGTGATCTCTTGAGGTTCTTACATGTTTTCCATCTTGTTTAGTGCAATACCATAAACATTGAAAAATACCAGGGGACCCATACAAGGTGCTAATAGTGATGCTGGAAGTACTCACAGGAAGCAGAGAAGTCATGACATTATGAGAAAAAGTTGAATCGCTTGATAGATATAGTAGATCAAGGTCTCCAGCTGCAGTTGCTCGCCATTTTGAGACAAATGAATTCAGGGTAAGGACCATTATAGAAAAGAGAAAAGGAAATTCCTGAAGCCGTTGCTGCAGCTATGCCAGCAGGCACAAAAACCTTACACTTTTTTGCAAAATGCTTTTTTATCTCATATTGAAAATGCAGCTTCTACATGGGTGAAAGATTGTTATAAAAAAGGCATACCTTTAGACTCAAATATGATTTGAGGAAGAGTGAAGTAATCTAATGCCAACTGAAAGCAGAAGGAAGGTAAAGGATCTAAAGCTGGAGAATTTAATGGCAGCAAAGGATGGTTTGATAATTTTAGAAAGAGGTTTGGCTTTGAAAATGTCAGGATAACAGGAGAAGCAGCTTTTGTTGACCAAGGGGCTTGCCTCTCTTGCCTCCCCTACCACCTCCTCCATCTCTTGCACCTCTGCCACCCCTGGGACAGCAAGCCCAACCTCTCCTCTTCCTTCTCCTCCTCAGCCTACTCATTGTGAAGACGATAAGGAAGAAGACCTTTATAATAATTCACCTCCACTTAATAAATAGTAAATACTCATTGTGCCATAGTTAATAAACTTATCTGTTATATGTGTGTGTGTCTTTGTGTGAAAATCTAACAGCCATACAGCAAGAACTCTTGTGAGATGTTTTTGTGTCATCATCATCCTCCTCACCGCATAAGCATTCATGGTGTAGAACAAAGTGTGCAAGACTTGTATTGAAATGATTAGCCAACCTTTCCACAGGCATAAGGTGAGTGATATGTAATATAAAATTAGTGTGTGAATTTTCTTACTGTTTTCTAACTTTGCTTTCAAAAAAGTTACATTACCGTAGAGTATGCCTCTCTTTCTCATAGTTGAAGAAACTGTATGTTAGACTGTCATCACAGTGTTTTTTTAAAATTTAAGTATAGTTGATGTACAATATTATATTAGTTTCAGGTGTATAACATAGTGGTTCACTTATTTATAGATTATACTCTATTTAAAGTTATTACAAAATAATGGCTTTATTTCCTGGGCTGTACAACATATCCTTGTTGCTTATTTTTACATTGCAGTTTGTGTCGCTTAATCCCCTATCCCTATCTTGTTCATCCCTCCTTCCATCTCCCCACTGGTAACGAGTAGTTTGCTCTCTATATCTGTTATCAGTGAGTCTGTTTCTGTTTTGTTACATTCATTCACTTGTTTTATTTTTTTGATTCCACACATAAGTGAAAATATGGAGTATTTGTCTTTCTCTGTCTAACTTACTTTACTAAGCATAGTACTCTCTAGGTCCATCCATGTTGTTGCAAATGGCAGAGTTGTCTTCTTTTTTTATAGATGAGTAATATTCTGTTGTGTATATACACCACATCTTCTTTATCCATTGATGGACACTTAAGCTGCATCCATATCTTGCCTATTCTAAATAATGCTGCTATGAATATTGGCGTGTGTGTATCTTTTTGAATTAGTGTTTTTGTTTTCTTCAGATATTCTCAGGAATGATCATATGATAGTTCTATTTTTAGTTTTTTGAGGAAGCACCATACTGTTTTCCATTGCACCAATTTACAGTCCCACCAACAGTATACTAAGGCTGCCTTTTCTCCATTTCCTTTCCAACACTTGTTATTTGTAGACTTTGATCATAGCTGTTCTGACAGGTGTGAGGTGATATCTCATTGTGGTTTTGACTTGCATTTCTCTGATGATTAGTGATATTTTCGTGTCCCACTTGGTCATCTGTATATTTTCTTTGGAAAAATGTGTATTCAGGTCTTCTGCCCCTTTTAAAATTGAGTTTGTATTGTGTTGTATGAGCTGTTTATATATTTTGGATATTAACCCCTTATCAGTCGTGTCATTTGCAATTTTTTTTCCAATCAGTAGATTGTCTTTTCATTTTGTTAATGATATCTTGTGCTGTCCAAAAGCTTTTAAGTTTAATTACATCCCATTTGTTTATTTTTACTTTTGTTTCTTTTGCCTTAGGAGACAGAGCTAAAAAAGTATTGCTATGATTTATGTTAAAAAGTGTTCTGCCTATGTTCTCTTGGAGTTTTATGGTTTCAGGTCTTACATTTAGGTCATTAAACAAGTAAGTGGGTTTATTTTAAGTGTAACAGTGTTTTCAATATTGTATTATGAATATAATTGTAATACTATATGCCATAAAAATTTTAAAACCACTCATTAGTGTACAGGCTAAGGTACCGTGAAACAGTTATATCAGTTACACTAGCCTACCATAAAGCAATCATACTGCTGCTTCCTCATTATCAGTGCATGAATTTTTACACCTGTAAATAAATAGGAATTTTTTTCTAACATTATCTTTTCATTTTGATGTCTAATGTTAGTAATATGTATAACAACTACAGTGTTTTGTATCATATAAGACAATATTGATATAGGTACTGACAGATGACTCAGAAACAGATACAAATTTAGAGTACCAATAAATACAATACAGGACTGTAAATGTATTTTTTCTTTCTTATGATTTTCTTAGTAACATTTTTTTTCTCTACTTTGTTGTAAGAATACAGTATATAATATATATACCACACAAAATATGTATTAATTGACTGTGTATGTTATCAATAAGGCTTCTAGTCAGCAGTAACCTGTTTAGTTTTGGAGGAGTCAAAAATTATACATGAATTTTCAACTGCCTAGGGGGTCAGTGCCCATAACAATTGCATTGTTCAAGGTCAATTGTATTTAGCTTTTCTTCAAAAAGTTATAACAATTATAATCTGTTTGGTATTTATATTATGGCATGTATTTATATTTATTTCTATGTTTAAGTTAAAATGATGCTTATCTCCAGCTTTTTCATACCAAAACTTTCTTATAAGTTCTTTACTGTAATGCATCAGCTTAGTTAGATTATATTTAACACTATTTTTTAGAAAGGAGCCATTGGTTGCTGTGTTTCCTGAATTCTTAAATATATGGACATAGCCTTATTTTGCACATATATATGAGTAGAAGCTTGACTTTTGAGGATCTCGTTGTTTCATTCAAGCACCACAGACTGCTTCATTGCCTTTTGGTATCTAATGTTTGCTGAAGAAAAATATGAGGCCAGTCTGATTTATTTTCCTTTAGGATGACATTTTCCTGCGCATACATACTTGTATGATTCTTTATCCTTTAAGTTCAGCTATTTAACCAGAATTTGATTCATTAATGATCATATTCTATTCTTTTTTCCTGAAACATATTGATCTCTTTATGCATATTATAGCTTTCCTTTCATACGGAAAAGTTTTCTTCTACTATAATATTTGAACATATTTTTTTCTGTTTCCTGTTCTGTTATCTTCTTCAGAAAATTCAATTATCAGATGTTTACTATTGTCTGAGCTCAATATGGTTACTCTTTTAATAATAACTTTGATCTCTGATTGCTCATCAATTGTACTCTTATTCTGCATAGCTATCTCCTCTTTCAGTTCTTTTCAGATCCTAAGACAGCATATGATGCATTTTTCCCTAAAAGTTTCTTGAATTTTCAGAAGGAATTCTTCAGATGTATATTCTTTTATCTTTTCATGTTATAACACTTTTCTAAATTATAAAAATTATTTTTGCATGGGTCATATACAATTATTTTTCTTATCTTTGAATGGAGGCAGTTCTATGTAGACCTTCTCTTTGCCCAGAGTAGTGAAAGTATTAATTTATGTTTTTATCTTGTAATATTTATGCAATGATTCAGTTATGTTCAGGGGAGGTAGGCAGGGAGCATTGATATTGGGCAGCAAGAAATCAGCTAAGACACTCTGTCTCCAAATATGTAATCACCATAGTTATTGCATCTTCCATCACTGGTGTCATAGCAGGGAGAGGATTCTGACAACCCAGATTTCTCATGTCCATTTCATTTTCAGAGTATGGGTCAGTATGAGGTCCTATGGCTTACAGGTTTGTTTACAAGGTCTGGTCTTACTTCTCTTCAGTCGTCTCTGTTCTGCAGCTGTAGAGCTGGTTTCATCATCTCCTGACCTTCCTCCTTGGTTAGGAACCCAGATAGAAAGAAATAAAAATGACATGACAGACAAAATCATACATATGGATGGCTCCATATATATCAAGTACAAAAAGAAACAAAATCAATGTATGCTGTTAGAAGGGCTTCCTTGGTAAAGGACAATAGGGGCTTCTGTGGTGATGATAATATTCTGTTTCTTGACATGATGCTAGTTACATGGATGTGTTCATTTCATTCATTTTGTATGTGTGGTATACTTCAAGGAGAAGGTTTTGTTTTTCATAATATGCTGAAAGGTCATCCTTCAAATGCTTCACTATGTGCTGCTGTGAAGGTGGGTGCTTACCCCTGCTGTGTTTCTCCACACCCCCCAGTCTGGCCACATCCAGTGTAAGCATTGCTGAGAGGGCTTACCACACGTCCCCCTCCCTCCTTACACTTGCTTAAAATTAGGCTAGATGTATGTCAAATCTCAGAATCCTCCTTCAGTTTTTCTTTTAATCCCAATTTTGTTGTATTTGACAAATGTTCTCCAGAGTCTACTCAAAGGGATTGTGACTGCCCTGATTTCATTAGAGATATTTCTTTCTCCATATTTGACTCTCTTTGTTACTTTTGGTTTCAGAGGAGGAGAAATAGATTTATGCATCTTATGTTCTTCTCATGCTTCTTAGAAGATGAATATTTCCTCTTTTTAAAATGATGAATATTGGCATAATTTTGACT